AAGAGCCAAAGCTCCATTGGAAATTGTTCATTATGATCTCTGGGGACCAACACCTATTTATTCTAGTGAAGGGTTTAGATATTATGTGATTTTTATTGATGATTACAGCCGTTATACCTGGATTTATCCCTTGAAATTGAAATCTGAAACTTATAATGTCTTTACTCAGTTTCATGTTTTTATGGAGGAACAATTGGGCACTAATCTTAAGTGTTTACAATCTGAGTGGTGAATTTTGGCCCTTATCTAAGTATTTGCAAAGTCATGGCATTCAATTTTGATACCTTTGCCCTTATCTTCATCAGTAAAATGGACATGTTGAAAGGAAACATCGTTCCATTGCTAAGTTTGGGTTGTCTCTTTTATCTCATACATTCATGCCTTTATAATTTTGGTGGACTGCATTTGCTACGGCAACTTATCTACTGAACAGACTACCTTCAAGGGTTCTTGATGGTGCTTCTCCCTTTTAGCTTTAGTATCATAAAGAGCCTTCTTATGCTACCCTTAAGGTATTTGGTTGCAGTTGTTACCCTTACCTTTAACCCTAAACATAAGTTGTCTTTCCATACCCAAAAATGTGCATTTTTGGGCTATAGTTTGGATCATAAAGGTTATAAGTGCTTGTCATCTGATGGTCGAATATATATTACTAAACAAGTTCACTTTAATGAAGCAGATTTTTCTTTCAAGTCTGGATTTGGAAATCAATAAAGTAAACTTCTCTCTACTGATTCTGCCACTTCAACTTCGCAGGGACCTTCTGTTTGGCAAATTCCTTCTCCCCCTAATAATACTATTTTGTCTTCTCACACAAGTCTCTAGGATGGTATATCCTCTACATTGGACCCTTCACATGATTTTACTAATGATAACAATCATGCAGGTTCTAAGATAATGACTGATCTAGTACACTCAAAATCATCTTTGCCTAACTCCACTAATCAGCTCATGCCTACCTCATTAGCTCATGCAAATTCTAAGCTTAAAATCACACATGGCCTAATTGCCTTGTTTACACATGACATGATTAGCCTCATGTTTATACACCATAAACAATATAAATTTATGCAGAATCCAACCGTGATATCTCAGGTTAGGATTAATAGTACATAGTATATCTTATGATGCATCATGACTACATTCTAAATGTCCACGTGATCATTATAAATGGCCATATTCGACAACAGTTCACTAACCGCTTATCCATGCTAATGCCTAGTGATATAACTTTATAATCATCAACACTAAATCCATCACATGATTCAACGGAGGCATTCAGCAAACTACTATGTAATATTATGCCCAATTAATATTACTATGGAATATTTGATGATTTTGATATTCTAAAGATTTGTATCATCCGGACATTACATGTAATACATATATAAATGAAGCAAAAAACCACAGTGAAATAAGAACACTTTCTTTTATTAATAAGTAAAATGTATATACAAATTATACTAACATAGATATACAAACATAGTACCTTCAATCAACAAGACAACTGGTTCCTAGGGCATACATTAACAAAACTCCCACTTGCACTAGAGCCAATCGTTGTGGTATCTAATACCTATCTTCTCAAGATGATGATCTAATTGCTTCTGGTCATCACTTAATAAGTGGGTCAGTACGTTATCCGTTGAGGTGTGTTCTACACCAAAATTTCTCCAGCTTCAACAAGCTCTCTCAAAATATGATATTTACACTGAAATGTTTTGATTTCAGTGTTCTCTTGGTTCCTTTGCTTGTGCAATAGCACCATTATTGTCGTAGAACAAGGTTATTGAAAAACTCATGTTTGGAACCATGTCAAGTAACTACAAATTTGCATATCCACACACCTTCTTTGTTGCTTCTGAAGTGGAATATTTAGCTTCTATAATGGAGTCGGCAGTGGTTGACTGCTTGGAACTTTTCCAACTAATTGCTCTCTATTTCATGTAAAGATGAATCGGATGTAGACTTTCTATCATCCACATTGATTGAAAATCAGAATCTGGTATCCCGATTTTCAATTTTGAACTCCATAACTCAGTATTAAATTTTAGTCCTTCTCAAGTACTAAAGATTGTTTTAACTATTGACCAGTTTTTCTCTCCTGGATTTGATTGATATTACTCGCCACAATTACAGCATAGGCATATTAGGCCTTGTCCATACATTGCGTACATAAGAACTAACTACAGTTGAAGCGTAGGGTATATTATTCATCCGCTACTGCCCCTGATCAGTCTAGGACTCATATCCTTAGAAAGATAGTTGGACTGCAAGGCAAAAAGCCTTTGTTGAAGTCTTGCATGTTGAACATTTTCAACATTTTCTCTATATACATGTTTTGAGATAACCCTATGAATCCTTTCACTCTTTTCTATAGATGCGAATTCCTAAGATGTAATTTGCTTCTCCCAAATCTTTTATTGAGAAAGCCTTTGACAACCACATCTTAACTTCAATCATCATGCCAATATCATTTCTCATTAATAATATGTCATCTACATATAATATGAGAAAAATCAGACATGATCTTTTACCCATTGTAACACATGGTTCATCCGAATTCTTTATGAAACCAAAAGTTTTGATCATTTCATAAAACGGATATTCCATCAGGACACTTTTTTTATTTGTACAATGTCCTGTGTCCTGATGGAAGCCTCAAACTACATGTTCCATGGCTTCGGCTGCAACATTTGCTCCATTCGCCATTCTTGACATGACTTGATCTTTTGTAGAGTGAAATATTCTGTAGATCTGCAAACAAACACCAATGTGTGAAGTAGTAGCTGAATCTATATCCAGGATGAATTATTTGAACTACACTTAATTCAAATTCAATGACATAGCATTGGGACAATCTGATCTAGTCTTCTCAATGAGAAGAGCTTTAGTCTTCTTAAGACTTGCTAGATAGAGAGGACAATCCTCTTCCAGTGCCCATTTTTTTGCACCAAAAACATTGACCCTTTTCTTTAAATTTATTAGCTTAAGGAGCAGCCTTTTCTTAAACCCTTTCCTTTGGGTTCTGTTCACATTTCTTTTGGAATTTCATTGGTTTTTTCTTCTTTGTCTTACTAGAAGAAGTCATACTAACAACCTCCTGTCTTTTGCCTTTTCTTTCCTGATCATAAAACTGTTGAATCTCAACAACAGTCATGAAGTTTTCTCTCAATCCTATTGAGATCATAATTACTGATGAAAGGTGAACTTGAAGGTAGAGATTGAGAAACTAAATCCACCTTGAGGGTGTTGACATTTCAATTTTCATGGCATGTAATTGCCCTAGAAGTTAACATTTTCATGACATGTTCTTTGGTGACACACCCTCTTTCAACTTCATTCCGAATAAAGTTGAACTTAATTCATATTGGCTTATCCTCGAATTTCCACTACAAATCTTGTACACAAGGTAAATTTCATTAGCACTTTCATCTTTTCACACTTTCTTAGAGCTCGTCACTCATCAATGCCATATATAGAGCGAGCTAAGTTATTTCCTTCCATTTTTTATACTGTTATACTCAGCGGAAGAAGCATGAAGGAGAGGTTTAGGCAGGGGCGTTTTTAAAATGTAGGCACATTTTTGAATATAATATTATTTCAGTTTCTCAGCCAATCATTGAAATTACTACAGCCAACTAACTGTTGTTCTCATCAGGATTTCAATAGTGGATTATTCATCTTTACGGTTTTATATTTTATGAGAGATGTTGCAAGGAAATTAAAAAAAAAATTATGAGTGTTGTCACATGTATATTTTATTAAGCTAATCTAATAACTCACTAATTAATTAGCTCCCACTATTTTATTCAAATCCTATACTTCCTGGATGAAGATTCAGAAATTTCCTGAATTAAAAATTTCTATTGGGGAATCAAATTCTTATCAAATTAATAAGCCCACATAATAGAAATCTTGGTCTATTAAATTCAATTTAATAGTAGGAAACTATTTCCATTTATATCACCATTGCCTCTTGTTAGATACCTCACATAATAGAAATCTTGTTACCTAGACTAGTTAAATCCGACCATTATGCTTTCTTAAAATAGAAGTCCTATTAACCCTCACATAATAGAAATCTTGGGTACAATGAAAATTCTATCCAAGAACTAGACAATCAATTCTATCATAAAATTGCATCCCCCACATAATAGAAATCTTGGCATCTCTATCTATGGCAAAGAATAATTGACCCTAATGGAAGGCTTAGACTTAATTTTAATTAGAGAAGATTTAAAGATTAGGTTTTGCTTTAGGTTAATGTTTAATATCTACCCTATACATTCTATCACATGTATTATCTAAATATAAAAATAAACCCCAAACTACAAATCAAAAACTAAATATCATACCATAAAATTAAGTTTCAACACTTCATATAATATTAAAACTTAACTATAAACAATGAATAATTAATAAGCATAAAACATAGCATACACATGCTCAATACGGCATCACATGTTTACAAACATAACAAATATGCATTATGTAATATAACACACTATATCTCATACTCGATGGTCTGGACCTAAGTACGATGCAGTTGTAGCAAACCTACAGTCCAATTGTAGTCATACCTCTCTTTTCCAATGTATCTTGACATTTGTCTAGGAACTTGATATCAATCTATATCAATGTATATTATATATTACCCCTTGTTTAATTCATGCATGCATACACAGATGGATCACAATTTTTATTTTTTAGGGTTTCTTCCCAGCTGGGTGAAAGTGATATGTGGCAGCTGAATATTTAAAATTCTGGGTAAGCTTCTGTTATCAGAAACGGAGAACGTAAAAACGTCTCATTGAATGACGAGAGAGGACGAAGAGAGGCACGCAGCTAAGCAATAGAGATTCCAAGCCAATTTGTCTAAGTCTACGCATGCAATGCAACCAAACAATAATATTTCTGTGCTGCATATTGATCACAATCATTGAACTCAATTTATTACTTTTAACTGCAAGAAATTAGAGATTCGTAATTAAAAAGAATCCAGATGAATTAATAATATCGCCCTGTTTGTTTCAATTTTTTGTTGTCTTATTCTAACATTTTTCCAACTCTATTCAATTAAAAACAATTACATTTTACAATAAAAGTTTATAAATCTCGGCCACTAGCAACCACCACCGACTATCGACATTAGAACAACGCACGATCGGTCAAATCCGATCTTATCATTTCTAATCCAATCCACCACGAATCTAGCCAAAAACGACCTGATCTACAACTAGAGATATGATCGTTGATGACCAGATCTATTTGATAGTTGACGACGGCCAAATTTTGACTGTAAGTTTATCTACGTTTTATGGCCTTCAATACCGCTCGAGCTAGCTGGATCCTGCTCTTCGATTGCTTCTAACATCTCCAAGAGTTTCATGTTATGCCGTAAGATATATTCTTCAGGTAACGTTGTTTTGATAGATTCTGTCAAATCCTGAACATCCAGTTTTCCTTCCAGAGCTTCAAGTATCTGTTTGAAATATAATGCCATCAAAAGAGTTATAGGCCAGCGTTCAATTCATAGAACTTAATTAAGAGCTAAAAGTAATTATTTAGCACTTGGTTTAAGAACCTGGTGAAAGAATTAAAGTGGCCGCATGCCACTATTCGGTTAACACAATTGTTAAGATAAAACAATTACTCAGTTAACATTTGTGCAGTTAATGGGTGGTTTTAAGGAGTTATAAAACTGACTGTCTTGATCCTAGATGGAAGGTATGAAGGGCAGGTGCTGAGAGTCATCTGGGTCCCTAGCCTAGCCATTATAAATAGACCATCTTCTTCATCAAAGTGTGGCAACATAACATGCATTTTTCAATTGGCATAAGCTAAATCTTTCTCACAAATTATCATCCTGCAATCTGCATTTGATTTCTATCATCTTGGCATTGGCTTTCTCATAACACTTAAACAACATGACTGGAGGTCAGTGATTTAATTCTGCATTGAGTATATATATATATTTAGTTGTATTTCCACACCTGGCTCATCCGCGGCCGATCCTTTGCTGAATAACATAAACAGGCACCAGCACAATGAACCATCCGAAACATTTCCCCGTTGTCGAATTTCTTCTCTAACTTTGGATCGGTATAAACAACGTTTATTTTGTTGTCTTTCACAGCTCTTCTGAGCATCGTTTTTGCCTAGAAGTTCATAAAAGTCCGTGTTAGATTTACTCTGCAAACAATGCAAAATTGACTCCATTCTTGCACCCTTAATTACCAATGTAGAAACTAAATTAGTACCAATCAAATTATTTACACACAAAACTTCAAGTGGGGTAACTTCTATCACACGATTCCTAACAGACTGGAGCTTATAAGACAGAATATGCACCTTGAGAGCCAAGTTTTCAGAATCAGAGGGCTGAATTTTATTCGTAGGTAGGCACCCAGTAATCAACTCCAGAAGCAGCATTCCAAAGGAGTAGACATCTGCCTTCTCATTTAACTTATTCCCGGAGTAGAAATAATCTGGATCTATGTAACTGCATACGGAGAAAATCCATCATGAGAAGTTACAGAGGATTGTTCAAGACAATATAATGTAAATAAGTTATGAACAACAGAAAACAGTTTTGCAAATATGACATATCAAGCAGTGTATTTTACCCAAAAGTGCCCTTAACTTCAGTGCTGATATGAGTTTTATCAACTGAAATGGACCTAGCAAGTCCAAAATCTGCCACCTGAGGAAAAACATGCAAGTCAATTCATTCATCATATATAGAAGCCAACATAAAAAGCACACAGATGTTGATCACTGAAATGAAAATAATTTCAATCTTATCTGCAGTCTGAAACAACCATTACTTTATCAAAATGCAGTACAAACGTATTCAAGCATTATGCAGATATAGATCACGTATCCAGAAAATAATTTCATTTCACGTATGATGTATTTGAAAGTATATACCATAATAATGTGAATCCATTACGAATCATACCTTGACTTTCCAATTTTCATCCAAAAGAATGTTAGCTGACTTGACATCACGATGCACGATCCTGGGCTTACCAGCTGCTGAGGATATATACATTTACATCAATACCATTTGAAATTTTAAAACAATATCTTACATCTCAAAATTTGCTTAAATTTAAGAAAACAATAATATCAAAAGAACACTCACAGACATCATGCAGATGAGCCAATCCTTTTGCTGTGCCCACCGCAATATTGAATCTTTTTTTCCAGTCCAAAATTTCTTTATCGTTCTCTGAAATGTTGTCAGAGCCGCTATTCTACCATTCAAGTTCTGAACTTTTCATATCTAGAGAGCTTGGATCTTTTTGGGGTTGATTTCAATTCCCTAGTGGTTATCTACATACCCCACGTTTTTCCCTGAGAATACTTCAAATGAACACTTAAGAGGATTAAGCTTCATTTTATATCTTTGGAGTACATCGAATATCTCTATGAGATTGATTATGTGATCTGAAGTGACACGCGACTTGATAAGCATATCATCAACATAGACTTCCATTGTTTTCCCAATCTGCTTAGAAAACATACGGTTAATAAGATGATGATAGATTACCCCATCATTTTTTAGACCGAAGGGCATGACTTTATAACAATTCAGTCCTTGATCTGTAATGAATAAGGTATGCTCAGACAAACTTTATTGAGATCAGAGAAATCAACGCAAGTTCGCCACTTGCCATTGGATTTCTTCACCAAAACAAGATTAGTGGCCCAACTCGGCTAATGAGTCTCCCGAATGAACCCATTTGAGCTTATCTACCTCAACTTTTAGAGCAACATAACGCTTTAGGTCCATGGCTCTTCTCTTCTGGTGAACTGGCTTGATTAGACTGTCGATGTTGAGTGCATAACACTTTACATTCGGGCTGATCCTGACCATGTCAGCATGAGTCCATGCAAAAACATCAATATTCTATTTGAGAAAGCTCATTAGGTTGGTAGTGAGCTGGGGGCTAAGATTGCTTCCGATCCTTAACACCCGAGTCGGTTCATTCCGGTCAATCGATACCTCAGATAGAGTCTCAACAGGTCTACTGTGGGGATACTCCTCCTGAACACGAAGATCTATGCTGTCTTCCACTGAATCTGGCTGTGGTTTGATCTTGTTGATCGCCATAGCCTGTTCGGGAGTGCCCACTAGCCTCCATTTCCATTTGTATGCCATCTGTACTGCCCTTACATAGCAGTCGAGGGATTCACTCTGAGATCCTTTAACTTCCTCACACCCCGTCAGAATGGAAAACTTCATCTTCAGATGATAGATAGAGGTGATGGATTTGAAATTCCGTAGTAGAGATCATCCCAAAATATCTTTGAAAGCAAATGGACAGTCTACCAACAAAAACTCTGTCATTTTGGTCACCTCGTGGATATCACCCAGAGTGATAAGAGTGCAATCTTTCCCTTGGGATTCAGATGATTTGCAGTAAAACTATAGAGAAGGATGGAGACAGGCTTCAGATCTACCTAGTCCAGTTGCATTTCCTTAAAAGCTCGCTAAAATAGGATATTCACAGTGCTACCATTATCCACCAGTATCCTGTGGACTTCACATCAACCTATTTCAGGCACAATAATAAGTGCATCCTCATAGGGGTGATGTAATCGCATCGCGTCTTTTTATGAGAAGGTGATCTCTTCTTCTCTATGCACCTTAGCAGGCCGCGGCGCTATACTTATCACACTCACGGGGTCATGACGAGCTTCTCGAGAGTACCTTTCCTCAACACCATGAGAATTCCCTGCAAGATGTGGTTCTCCAAATATGATCCTAGCAAGGTGGAAACCTTTGCGACCACAACGCTTCTTTCCCTCGTCCCTTTGATCCTTCTCCCGAACGGGAGTTGGACCACCAACATACTCCTTAAAGTGTCTCTTTTTAATAAGGTCTTTAATTGCTTACTTGAGAGCCTAGCATTTATCGGTATGGTGTCCATTATCCCAATGATAATAGCAATATTTCTTGCCGTTTCTTGCCGCAAGGGGATTATTCATGGGCTTTGGCTCTCTGAGCAAACCAGCTTCTTCTGATTTGTCTAGAATAGCTGATACTGATGCATTCAATGGAGTATATTAATTCTTGTTGTGATCGTGATGAGAAACCTGGGCGTAAGATTTCTTGGGCTCAAATAATTGTTTCTTTCCTTTTTGCTGATCGTCATTGGCCCATCTACGATCAATTCTCTTACTATTCTCCCCCGAGCCTTCTTTCCCCAAGCTAGGGGCACTGGTCGAAGGACCGAGGTTGTGGCGATTTAGAGTAGCCACAGAATTCTTGATTCAGAGGTACTTCTCAGTAAGATTGTAGAAGCAAGTGAGGGAAATGTCGTCCTCAGATTGTAACTTTTTGCACAGGTTGGTTTACAGACAAACCCTTACAATAATGAGAGTCCGAACTGACTCCTCGTAGCCACCTTGTGCAGCTCCCTATGGAACTTGTCAATATAGGATTAGAGGGACTCATTCCTCTCCTACCATATGTTGCTCACATAGCTCAAAGACATTGAGAACTTCCTATTAGTTTGGAAATGTCTCAAGAATCACAAACTCATCTGCTGCCCCAAGTTGATAGATCCTGGCGTGAGCGATCTAAACTAGTGCTTGGCATGGGAAGTCAGAGTCATTGCCAAGTAGCGACATTTGGCGAAGCTAGAAACTTAGTGAAGCTCCATGAGGTCGTTAAACTCACAGAGGTGATCTTACGGATTAGAATTCCCATCGAATGCTCGCATATCAGGTATTCCAAATCTTGACGGGAGAGCAGCAACTAACACTAGCGGAGAAAAAGGGACACTTCAGCGGCTTACTCTCACTCATTCTGCTGAGCTCTAAGTTGATCCAAGGCTCACTATAACTCCTCAATCTAAGGAAGTAGAGCTACCAGAGGATCGCTTTTGCCAACGTGGGTTCGACCCTTACAATTGCGGTTGAGGAAAGACCATAGGTCGGACTCTTCCTCACCTCTACCAGAGCCTTCGGCATGCCTTGACACACGCTGGCTGGAGCCATGTGTAGGCATTGAATGGCCAAGGGAACTATCCCGACCTCTACGGTGGTCAAAACCAACCCGTGTATGGTGGACATTTCCCTTGCGGTGATGGTCAGGACCATCACGGCGGCGATGAAGGGAATCTCCCTACCTTGCACTCTTACGGGGGTGTCCATGCGATGTGGTGTGGAATGGCTCATGATGCGACATATCGCTAAGTAGTAAAGCCATAGGTATTCTACCTGCTTCACGACCGACATTCGCTGGTCCCTTAGAGCCTTTTGGCCCATTGTTTGCCACCTAGTTTCCTTTGTCTTTATGCGCTGTAGTACGTACAACATGGGCTTTCGCCCATTTCCACGCTTTAGTGTGACCTACAGGCGTCTTTGGCGGCGGCACCACCTTATCAGAATAGGGCGGTACGACTTGATTCAAATGTTCTAACATTTAGCTAACCATTTCAAGAGTATTATTAAACCTCTCCAAGTAACTCCTCATAGTTGGATCCAGCGATGAGCTCGAGGGAAAATCCGCCGCGGTATTTTGTGGAACGAGAGGTACTTAAGAAGAAGTATCGTCCTATACTTGGGGGATATCCTCGGGGTTGAGGCTAGTTCGCTCGGTTTTGAAACCACGAGCCATTTGTCAGCAAGTAGAGCTGATTGATCAAAGATTCTTGATGAAGAGCAGATACTAAATCACGCCCTTCTTCTAGCTCCAAACTGTTGATGCTAGATTTTGACACCAACGATTCGCACGTGCAAAGTTCTAAGTTGGCTTAGAAATTACACGTGAATGGAAAATGCAATGAAGTAAAGAGAAGGTGATTTTTAAAGTGGTTCGAATGCTTAAAACGAATCCTACGTCTACTGTTCTTTTATATATATGAGGTTACAAGAGGTCACGTATAGCGAACAGCGAGTAAAGGTACAAATGACAGATTATTCAGAGAGAATATCAAGTCAGTCTCTTTCTCGCAGGTTATCTATGTTCTGAGAATAAAAGGTCACTATTAGAATGCGGGATTTTTATCAGAATCCCAAAAATTATAGGGGGAGCCCTCTATTTATAGTAGAAGGTTTTAGGGTAATGATTACAAATTTGTAAGGCCAGCCCAAGGGGTAGGCATGTGGGCCCCCAAAAAAAGCCCCAAAAAGGGGCCCAAAATTATTTTAAGATTTTTTAAATAGATTTACAGAAATACCATTGAGCCTAAAAAAGTTTATAATTTTTTATTCAAACCAGTCCAAAGGGCCCCAAAAAAGCCGAAAATGCCCAAATTCATTATAATTTTTTTACATAAATTTACAAAAAAAATCATGTTTTATATTTTCCATTCACACCCCTAAATTAACTAAACTAATTATTTCAATGTCTAAAATTTCAAAACACCCATTCAATCCCTAAAATGATGAAAACATTGCATCTCCACCCCTTTACATCGCCATAGTGTCACTGTCGGTGTTAAAGTGATGATCCCGATCAATTTTCTCACCAAAATTGACCGAATTCATCACGTAATCATTTCAAAACATTTTCCCAGCCTTGACAACCCCCAATTTGACTGATTTTTGCTGATTTTCGCAACCCATTTTCATTCTTCACCACGTGCGACAGCCATTTTCGGCACGTATTCGCTGTAGTTGACCTTCCTCGACACCACCATCTTCGTCCCCTCAGCGCCCTCCCCAAAACCCCTCACTTACCTGACCTCAGTAGCCCACCGTCCACTTCTCGCCCTCATAAGAAAGATTAGATAATTTGAATATATTATCAATTGAAAAAGATTTGGTTTCTAAACTTGAATATAAAAATTTAATTAGTGTTTTTGCATCTCAAAAGACAAGAAAAATAAATTTGAAATAATTTTTTAATATATGCTGATATTATTAATAGAGCCTCAAAGTAACTCTTGTCTAGGGTTACAAATGTTCTTAAGACGGCCCTGCAAGTCTGCAAGTGGGTAGGTGAAGTACAATTCCTACCGTGCTTCCCATTAGCTGATTACATAAGAGATATCCTCAAATCGCATAGGGCTTGGACAGGTGAACGACTCCTATTCACTCATAGATAAAGCTTGAGTCTACTAAGTTGATGACATAGAGGAGAAATTACTCAATTTTGTATGATATTTAGATATTAATCGGAGAAAGAGAGGAAAAATAATAAAACGATGGAGCAGCAAAGCATGGAATTTAAATTCATGAAAGAAGCTTACAGTTTTGTTGTTGTAGAGGAATTTCACCCGTATTATTCTGCATATTGATTAGGAAGCTACTTCTTCGACGGGAAACTTTATAGATTCTCACAGCAATGACCAAACCAGCCAGTGCAACTCCACGGCCCACGCAGAATTATTCCAACCAATGTTGCTCCACTCATCTTCCCTAACCTCTGGGATCCAAACGTTACTTCATTCGACTACCGGGTGGTGCATTGTTTTCTGGTTTTGTATCATCTGGTGGAGGATCTTCATACGACATATCGAGAAATTAAGAGTGACTTACCAGAGAATTTTGGAAGAAGCTTTGATGATATTACAAGAAATTAAAGGAACAATTTATCAAACACTTTGAAACAGAAATTGTATTCAATCACAAAGAACAGATGTTAATTATATTATATATTATATTACCCCTTGTTTAATTCACGCATTCATGCATAGTGGATCACTAGTTTTTAGGGTTTTTTCCCAGCTGGGTGAGAGTGATATGCGGTAGCTGAATATTTAAAATTCTGGGTAAGCTACTGTTTTCAGAAATGGAGAACGTAACAATGTCTCATTGAATGATGAGAGAGGACGACGAGAGGCAGACAGCTAAGCAATAGACTCCAAGCCAATTTGTCTAAAGTCTATATTGATCAGACATCACTCTAACTTAAGTTATTACTTTTTAAGTTTTAACTATAAGAAATTAGAGGTTGGTAATGAAAAAGAATCCAAATGAAAAAATAACAACATTTAATTAAAAAAAAAAAAAACATTTAATATTTAATTATTACCGGCAATCAATTTCAAATCCAGCTACACAATATGGAACGAATCCAGATTTATACATTATGTCATATAATAGCATCAAACAAATTCAAATCCAAAATTTAGGAAGAAATGAACACCGATAAATGTTTGTGGTTGAAGCAGATCAAGAGAAAAGTCTGATAAATTCGCGAAAGAAAATGATTAATTAAAGTGTAAAATCATTTTATTGATGTTCAAAATACGATATTTTCTGGCCTTCATTAACCGATCGAGCTAGCTGGATCCTCCTCTGTGATTGCTTTTAACATCTCCAAGAGTTTATTCTTGTCCCATGAGATACGTTCTGCAGTGAAAGTTGTTTTTATTCTTTCTGTCAGACGCTTCACATCCAGTTTTCCTTCCAGAGCTTCAAGTATCTGCTTGGAATATAATGCAATCAAAAGAGTTATAATAAGCCAGTGTTCAATTCATAAAACTTAATTGAGAGCTAAAAGTAATTATTTAGTACTTGGTTTAAGTACCTGACTCATCTGCGGCCGACCCGTTGCTGGATAACATACACAGGCAGCAGCACAATGAACCATCCGAAACATTTCACTCTTGTCGAATTCCCCTGTCTTTGGATCGGTATAAACAACGTTTATGTTGTTGTCTTTCACAGCTTCTCTGAGCATCGGGTTTGCCTAAAAGTTCATAAAAGTCCGTGTTATATTTACTCCGCAAACAATGCAAAATTGACCCCATTCTTGCACCCGTAATTACCAATGCAGAAACTAAGCTAATATCAATCAAATTATTTACACACAAAACTGCAAGTGGGGTAACTTCTATCACACGATTCCTAAAAGACTGGAGCTGATGAGACGGAATATGCACCTTGACAGCCAACTCTTCACCATCAGGATCAGAAGGCTTAATTTTATTCAGAGGTCGGCATCCAGTAATCAACTCCAGAAGCAGCATTCCAAAGGAGTAGACATCTGACTTCTCATTTAACTTAATCCCGTGGGTCAAAAAATATGGATCCATGTAACTGCACTCAGAGAAAATCCATCATGAGAACTTACCCAGGATTGTTCAAGACAATATAATATATATATACAAGTTATGAACAACAGAAAACAGTTTTACAAAAATGACATATAAAGCAGTGTATTTTACCCAAAAGTGCCAGCAATTTTAGTGCTGATATGAGTTTTATCAGCTAAAATGGACCTAGCAAGTCCAAAATCTGCCACCTGAGGAAAAACATGCTAGTCAATTCATTCATCATATATAGAAGCCCACATAAGAAGCACACATATGTTGAGCACTGAAATGAAAATAATTTCAATCTTTATCTGCAGTCTGAAATAACCTTTACTTTATAAAAAGGCACTGCAAACATATTCAAGCATTAGGCAGTTCAAATCCTACCTTGGCTTCCCATTTTTCATCCAAAAGAATGTTAGCTGACTTGATATCACGATGCACGATCCTCGGCTTACCAGCTGCTGAGGATATATACATTTACATCATACCATTTGAAATTTCAAAACAGTATCTTACATGTTAAAATTTTCTTAAATTCAAGAAAACAGTACTATCAAAATAATACTCACAGCCATCATGCAGATGAACTAATCCTTTTGCTGTGCCTACCGCAATATTGAATCTTTTTTTCCAGTCCAAATTTTCTTTATCGTTCTCTGAAATGTTATCATAATTAAACTGATCAGACAACAGTATCACAGTTTAAAATGCACAAAATGCAGTGACACTTTCTAAATCCACATTGATAAATCCTGTAATTCCCATATAATATATACGATTATTATTCAGAAACGTATGAATTCAGAAATACTAATCACCAGTTTCTATAATTTCAATTTTTTAACCATCTGTGATATCTAATGACAGAAAGGACAAACCATGTAAATGAAAGGACAGGCTTTTGTTCGAAACGAACTCGTATACAAGCAGTCTCTCAGTCTCCGAAATGCAGTATCCAACTAGATGTACAAGATGTTTGTGGTGGATACCGCTAATGATTTCTATCTCTTTCAGAAATTCTCTCTCCCCCAGTTGCCGTTCAGCTATTTGCTGTTTTATAGCAACAATTCTCCCATCTCGAAGGACTCCTTTATGGACAATGCCAAAACCACCTCTACCAAGTACTTTGTCTTCGGAGAAATTATTTGCAGCCTCCTTTAGTTCTTCATAAGTAAATGTTTTCGGCATTGCATGGTCAGAGGGTGGTGGATGCTGAACAGAAGATCCATCTAGGGATACAATTAAAAAAAAAAAAAAAAAAGAACCAAATTATCAGAGATGCCCGTTCATATATATGGAATTTAAATATGAACACTTGCTTGCTGCAGGAATCCGTTCTTGTGACCGATGCTGCCGAAATTTAACAGAAGATCCATCTAGGGATACAAAAAAACAAAAAAAAAAAAAAAAAAAACCAAAAACAAATTATCAGGAGATGCCCGTTCATATATATGGAATTTAAATATGAACACTTACTGGCTGCAGGAATCCGTTCTTGTGGCCGATGCTGCCCAAATTCAACAGAAGATCCATCTAGGGATACAATAAAAATAAAAATAAAACAAATTATCTGGAGATGCCCGTTCATATATATGGAATTAATCCAAATATGAACACTTACTTGCTGCAGGAATCCGTTCTTGTGGCCGATGCTGCTGAACTACACGTAGAGAGATTAAAAAGAGTATTTAAATTGAGTTCACAAGTGAAGTTTCTCATAAGTTCACAAGTTCGTGCCTGGGACTTAAAACTTTCAAGTGTTTTTATGTAAAACTGTTATAATTGATTCACTTATGCTTGCTTTAGGTATATAATTATATGAAACTCAAAAGTTAATTCTCGCAAGAAAGGAGAAATATTGACCAAATAAGAAACGTTTATTACCTTTACGGTTTCCCCGTTTGTCCCTGAGTCTTTGTTTTCTACCAAAAATGAGGCAAACAATTACAAGAAGAACAATCACCAAAACTATTAAACCACCCATAATTATTCCAAACGATGCACCGCCTGAGGAAGAACTGAAGCCCTGAGATTGATCTTCAGTTTCAGGTTGCCACCCATCAACTACCTTTGGTGGTGGCGGAGTGTATGACGACATCAATGCTCGAGCACGAGAAGGACGTACTGGAGAACACATGATATTCTTTAAAATTAAGAGAAAAATGAAAATGATAGCTTGACAGTGTTCAACAAGAGAGGTTAGCTAGCTTTGACTATCTTTAATAATCAAATCAATATTTAAAAAAAAAAAAAAAACTAACCGTTGATTCCGATCTGAATCTTCTTGTTTCGGGCTAAACAAACCAAAGAAACGAAAAGAAGCAGATTAAGAGAAAAATCAAAATTAATAGAGAAAAAAAAAAGAAAGTAAATATCACAAGAGATTACCCACCGATGATATGAAGAAACGAAGCGAGGTTTAAAGCTCAAATTTTAGTTTAGTTTAGTGTCAGGGAGTATGGGCTAATGAGGTGGTCTTTGTAGAGAGAAAGCGCGAGAGGTGACGTATTTCGTAGTGACGTACACAAGATGGCAGCCTTCCCATAAATCAGATGGATAAATTTCATCCACATCCAATGTTTCCTCGAAAGACAAAAGGAAGTTTCCTTGTTTTGTCGCTGTATCAAGCCAGTTGTATGTGGGTCCTCCGTTAATTTGCACTTTAATTCCATCTTTGCTTCTCAACAATTGTGGTTCTCAAAAATTTAAAGTTACAATATTTAATGCTCATGGCTGCCATATTGTGAACGTATCCTCAAAGGAAGATAGCACGTACACAATATGTATGCCAGCCAGGAGCAAAAATGTCAAAAAAGGTGGGATAGTTTTAGATGATAAAACTATATTTTATAATTGAAAAGTCTTAGAAATGGTTTGATGGATCGCCCCCTCAAGATTAATATTTAAGATCCTGCATCCACCACTGGCATTCTAGCCTTCTAGGGGAAGTAGGTTCACCAGTGAAATAAGAAATTCAACAATTCTTTTTTTGATTTGACATCTATGGCTAAGAATATATGACAAAGCAAAATCGATTTCCAACATTTGGGATGCTGAGATTGCTGACAAGTGATATCGAAGAAGCAAAAGCTAATTTCATCTGGGCTTCTTAACCACAGTGAAAACCAATTTGCTTTACAAACTGGGTCAGACTCAGACCCCACCTCACCAAACATGATTAACCTTTTAATGAGTTTTCAGCTCTAATTATCTGTCATTGCTTTGCCATTTCCAGTTGTAGTAGAACGCAACAACTTTAAAGCTTCAACTGTTTGAAGTGTTAAGTCCGTGTATAATTATAATTCCATTGATGTGTTAGGATGGTGACAAACTTTGCCTGAAGATTGTGGGGACCAAGCCAGTTGTATGTCGGTCTTGTCGGCGTATCTCCTACGCTAATTATTTGCAAATTGCAATTTATTTCCATCTTTGATCATGATGAGACACTTAAACACAGATATATTTGCAATATCCTGCGCTAATTTGCAATTTAATTCCATCTTTGCTTCTTAACATGTGTTGTTCTAATTTCATTAAACTGTATAGAAACACAAACCAGCCCTCCCCATAAGTAGCACACCGTTTTAATAAAGCTAAACCTAAACTTTAATCATAAATCAGACACCTCTAATTAACCTCCCCATCCTCTATTCTTTTTTGGTCCAAGGGAAAAGTCACGTCACCTCTCACGCTCTCTCCCCATACGTAACCCATNGCTTCTTAACATGTGTTGTTCTAATTTCATTAAACTGTATAGAAACACAAACCAGCCCTCCCCATAAGTAGCACACCGTTTTAATAAAGCTAAACCTAAACTTTAATCATAAATCAGACACCTCTAATTAACCTCCCCATCCTCTATTCTTTTTTGGTCCAAGGGAAAAGTCACGTCACCTCTCACGCTCTCTCCCCATACGTAACCCATAATTATTCCAAACGATGCACCGCCTTAGGACGAACTCAAGCCCTGAGATTGATCTTCAGTTTCTGGTTGCCATCCATCAACTACCTCTAGTGGTGGCTGTATGATGACATCAATGCTCGAGCACGAGAAGGACGTACTGATTGATAGTGCACCAGTCTAGCATTTTTCAGCTAGATCTATATAGAAATACATACTTATTTCTATATTTTCAAAATCCAATATTATTCTATTCAATTATTTTTAAACTCCTTAGGTTTATTAATTTAACTAAACACCCAAAAAAAAAGTTTTATAAATTAACAAAAATACAGCTCCCATCCACCCACATTTGTTAGATTCTAGCCACTACCAATTGGATCTGATTGATAGTGCACCAGTCCAGCATTTTTCAGCTAGATCTATTATGGATCTAGCCAAAAAGACCAGATCTACTGCAAAAGATCTAGCCGTAGCTGGTCATCAACGACGATCATAGATATGACCATTGTTGAAGACCAAATGTGGTCAGATCTGACCTTTTCTGGCTAAATCCATAATGGATTTGACCGAAAAAGGCTATATTAATGCACAACCGGCCAAATCCAGCCGGTCGTGCCCCATTACAATGACGTTCGACCACCCTCCAGTGGTGGTGGCCAACTGTCAGCATTTAATGGGTGGATGGGGGTGTTTTTATTAATTTTTAATGTTTTATTATATGGGTGTTTAGCTAAATTAACAAACCTATGAGTGCTTTTATTAATTTTTAAATCCTACCTCGTAATAACCATCAAACTCAACTTTTTAAAAATACTACAAATAATAAACCAAACACAACTTTTGTTTTGTCTTTGTACCAAGCCAATTGTATGTTGGTCTTGTAGGCATATCCTAGGTTAATTTGTAATTTAATTATGTTATGCCTAAAAAATCAGGGCTGACATAAGCTGATATTAATAAGCAGCAATCAAAGTTGCATGATGAATGAATTGACTTGCATGTTTTTCCTCACGTGGCAGGTTTTGGACTTGGTACTTGCCTTTTGATAAAGTAATGGTTATTTCAGCACTGAAGTTGAGGGCTCTTTTGGGTAAAATACACTGCTTTATATGTCATACTTGCAAAACTGTTTTCTGTTGTTCATAACTTATAGCTATTATACTGTCTTGGACAATCCTCTGTAACTTCTAATGATGGATTTTCTCCCAACGCAGTTACATAGATCTAGATTTTTTCACCACCGGGAAGTTAAAATGAGAAGGCAGATGTCTACGCCTTTGGAATGCTGCTTCTGGAGTTGATTACTGGATGCCTACCTGTGAATAAAATTCAGCCCTCTGATCCTGAAAACTTGGCTGTCAAGGTGCATATTCTGTCTCAACAGCTCCAGTCTGTTAGGAATCGTGTGATAGAAGTTACCCCACTTGCAGCTTTGTGTGTAAATAATTTGATTGATATTTATTTAGGGTCTGCATTGGTAATTACGGGTGCAAGAGTGGGGTGAATTTTGCATTGTTTGCAGAGTAAATATAACACGGACTTTTATGAACTTTTAGGCAAAACCGATGCTCACAGAAGCTGTGAAAGACAACAACATAAACGTTGTTTATACCGATCCAAAGTTACGGAAATTCGACAAGAGCGAACTGTTTCGGATGGTTCATTGTGCTGCTGCCTGTGTATGTTATCCAGCAAGGGATCGGCCGCAGATGAGCCAGGTACTTAAATCAAGTGCTAAATAATTACTTGTAGCTCTCAATTAAGTTTCATGAATTGAACACTGGCTTATAACTCTTTTTGATTGCTTTATATTCCAAGCAGATACTTAAAGCTCTGGAAGGAAAACTGGATGTGAAGGTTCCGACGGAAAACATCAAAACAATGTTCACTGCAGAACATAGCCCATGGGACAGCAAGAAACTCTTGGAGACGTTAGAAGCTCTAGAGGATCCTGCCAGCTCGATCGGTTAATGAAGGCCAGAAAACATAGTATTTTGAACATCAATCAAATGATTTTACACTTTAATTAATCATTTACTTTCGCGAAATTATCAGATTCTTCTCTTGAGAAAAAGTTTGTTAAAGACCTGTGACAAAAACAAAACTTCAACCACAAACATTTATCGGTGTTCAGTTCTTCCTAAATTTTGGATTTGAATTTGTTTGATGCTATTATATGAACATAATGTACAAAGCTGGATTCGTTCCATATTGTGTAGTTATATTTGAAATAGGTTGCTGGTAATTAAATGTTAGATGTTTGATTTTTATTTTTTTTAATTAGAAAAAGAAAACTGAGGAGTCTCCTATTTTATTTAACTAAGTCAAACAAAGTTAAATGATATTATTTTTTCATTTGGATTCTTTTTAATTACGAACCTCTAATTTCTTATAGTTAAAAGTAATAAATTAAGTTGAGTGATGTCTGGTCAATATTCAGTAGAGAAAATTTATTTTGTTTGGTTGCATTGCATGCACAGACTTGGACAAATTGGCTTGGAGTTTCTATTGCTTAGCTGCCTGCCTCTCGTCGTCCTCTCTCATCATTCAATGAGACATTTTTACGTTCTCCATTTCTGAAAACAGTAGCTTACCATAAATTTAACCCTGCTGTTAATATTAAAGGGTATGAATTCAAATCAATAATTAAATACTCAACTACCACGTATCACTCCCACCCAACTGGGAAAAAACCCTAAAAACTTGTGATCCATCTGTGCATGCATGCGTGAATTAAACAAGGGGTAATGTATAATATAATTAACCCTGTACTTTGTGATTGAATACAATTAATATTTAAAAGTGTTTGATAAAATGTTCCTGCTGGTCTTGAATATTCTTCTGGTTGCTCCATCAGAATATTCTCTTCCAAATCACCATGTAAAAAGACTATTTTTACATCCAATTACTCCAATTCCAGATTGAACTGTACAACTAGAGAAATCAGAATTCTGATTGATGCATGCTTTACAACTGGAGAGAATATTTCATTATAGTCTATGTCCTCTACTTGTGTGAATCCTTTTGCAACCAGCCTAGCCTCTAGGTGATTCTTTTGAAGTTAGGCCTGGTTTCCTTTTGAAGATCCACTTGCACTTAACCACCCTGCAATTTTCTGGTTTGTCAACTAGGGTCCAGGTATTGTTTTTCATTAAGGAGCTAAATCCATCCTCGATTGCCTTCTTCCATTCTGATTTTTCAGCTCCTAATATAGCTTCCTGAAAGGTTTTAGGCTCATCATTCAACTCTTCTTCTTCCTGAAGAGCATAGGCTACTAGGTCTGTATATCCTAGTCTGTTGGGAGGTTTAATGACTCTTCTGGTTCTATCCCTAGATAGTTGATAGTTTGTCAAGTCTGGCTCCTCTTCCCCTTGTTCCCCTTGCTCCCCTTGCTCACCAAATTCATTTGTATCAGGATTCTCCACTGTCTCTTCTGCTCTACCTTGATGATTAGAAACAGCATCTTGAATTTCCAACTCTAGGTGATATGATCCTGAGGCACTGTTAACTGGTTTTCCAGGTTCATATTCCAGTCCAGGAAGGACCTCTACCCTAGCTAAAAACCACA